GAGATTAGAGAGTAGGGTGTATCAGAGAAGCAGCAGCAGGCAGCCAGCAGGCCCCCAGGCTGTACCCATCTGGGAAGCTACAGGACAGCTTCAGTCAGATGGCCTTGGAGGCTAAATCTGTTTCAGCTTTTCATTGAGTAGGACAAATTCTCATCATAATGCTTTTGCCTTTTTCATGTAATTAGTCAAAAGAATAGTTGTCACATAACTCAGAAATTATCCTGGGCTTTAATGAATAAAGAGGACTTGCCCAGCAAACAGAACCAAAGTTGGCAAGTCAAAACCAGAAAGTGTCTTTTTCTTCCACCTCTCTTGGTTACGCTTCCAATTTCCTCATGTTAAATTTTCATACTTTCACCCTCTTGTGTAAATCCTAATAGCCTCTGATTTCGAGTGGAATTATAAGTCTGAACAAAGCTGTGGAGAGGTCATCTAGGTCAGCATCCTGCTTTGGCTAGGAAACTAGTTTAAACTCTGCTTGGATAAGAAACTGTCCTCTTTCAAAAGACTGTATTGAACTAGGACAGAGTAACTGGTATTGAAGTAACCCTCTTGCCAAAAAAAGAAAAAGAAGTATAAAAGCTTATGAAAATAAATAAAACAAGAGTTTAGAGGCATTGAAGAACAACCAGTCAGTACTTGAGGGACTAAGCATGATTCCCGAGAGAAGGGAAGCGCATTGAGGCAAGCTGTATTTTCACTATAGTTTTTTCCCTGTGGGCATGTTCTAATTCACAGTACATGAGTGTGGAGTCCTAGCAGAAAGCGGCAGACCCACAGGGCTGAGAGGTTGGAGTTAGGGGCTATGAAAGTATCTGGGAGTTAAAGGACAGAATCCAAGGAAAAAGGGGACTGCAGGGAAGTAAGCAGAAAACAGGCAATCTTCCCTTGAGATGTTTGCCAGCTTCTAAGATGCACACGATCAGAGCAAGACTCCCAGAATCCCTGCAGAAAGAAGCAGCTGGAAGCCTAACAAGCTGTGTAAACATTCCGACAACCATATCTATCTAGTGCTGATGAGATAAAGATTGTGTTCAAGGCCTCCCAAGCTGGAGGGGTCATGGTAAATAACCAAAGCTTTAACTGAAGGCTCCAGGGAGCCCTACCTTACGAGTAAGGGAAAGCTGGGAAATGTTGGCCCTAACAAAACTTAAAACTAACTACCAACAGGGTTAAAGTGGTCCAATTGCATTCAGTGAGAATATATTACAATTTTAAGAAGAAGATAATCTAGATCACCCAGAACGTCTACAGTTTTTAATACAGAATGTCTAGCATCAAATAAAAAATTAAGAGGCATGCTAGAAATTGAAACCAAATGACCAAAATGAAAAGAAAAAACAGATAATAGAAAGAGACCTACAGGTGATTTGGATACTGGAATTATCAGTCAGGAACTATGTTCAGTAAGTATAAAAAATGGAGAATTTAAAAAAAAAAATCTTTTTAAAAAGTCAAATGGAAATTCTGGCACTGAAAAATATAAGAACGAAATTAAGAATTCAGTACATGGCTTTAAGACATACATACACAAACAGGAGAGGATTATTGGACCATGGAGAAAATTGGTAGAAAATACCCAGATTGGAGCACAGAGAGGAAAAATACAAAAAATAGAATAAGAGATCTATGGGACACAGTGAAAACATTTCATATATGTGTATTTATAGTCCTAGAAGAAGAGAATGTGACAACCAATATTTAAAGAAATATTGGCTGAGAAATTTCTGAAAACAGTGAAAGACATCAAACCATAGCTTGAACAAGGTCTGTACTCCTTAGTGGAATAAGTGCAGAGTCATACCTAGGCACATCATGTTGAATTTCTGTAAGCCAAAGACAGAGAAAGCTTAAACGCAGTCAGAAACAAAAGGTATGTTACCACAAGGAGCACCAGTAAGGCCGACAGCTGACTTATTACCAATTATAGGATGAAGCCAAAAGACAATGAAGTTGTATCTTAAATGTGCTGGAAAAAAGATGGCTAGCCTAGAATTCTCTACTCAGCAAATGTATCCTTCCAAAACGAATGTGTGGGGAAAAAACTTTCAAACAAATAAAAACAGAGAGCTTTTGCTGTCAACTGGCCTTCAGCAAAAACAACAACAATAACAAGTTCTTTGAGCAGCAGGAAGAAAATTTGAGATGGAAGCTCAGCTGTATATGAAGAATACCATAAAAAGAAATTGTATGATAAATATAAGTGAAAATTTACTTTTTAAATCAATAATAGTGATGTCTTACGGGATTTAAAATATGTAGAAGAAAAATATTTGCTACTAATAGCACAACAGATGGGAGAGGCTAAAGAGAGGTTCTTAAATTGTTTGGTACGTTGTAAAATTACTAATTTGAAGTATAATATAAATCAATGATGCTTACTTTAATTGCTTAGATGGCTACTAAAAGAATAACAAGACCAAAGAACCAGTAAGCTCATGAAGAAAAAAACGTGGGGTAATAATAAAATTTGTTTGATCGATTCCGAAGGCAAGAAAGAAATAAAGGAACAAAGAACAGTTGAAACAAGTAGAATGATCACACATTTAAACCCAGTCACATCAATAATCACATGAGGTATAAATGGGACTATATATACAATTGGAAGCCAAAGATTTTTGGATTTAATAAAATATTAAAATCCATTCATATTCCTCTTACAAGAGACAATCTTGAGACAAGCCTTGAGGACACAAGTTTGAAAGTAAAAGTGTGGAAATAAACTTACATGCATGCATATACGTATACACACACAGGCAGAAAAAAAATCAGTAAAGATTTAGAATATTTAAATAGCACTAATAATCAACTTACTCTACTTGACAATTATAGAACATTATACTCATCAACTGCAGAATACACTTTTTACAAGACATCTAGATTATTTACAAAAGTAAACAATGTGCTGGGCCATAAATCAAGTTTAAATAAATTACAAAGCATTGAAATAATACGTATAAATCAAGTTTAAATAAATTACAAGTATTGAAATAATACTGTATGTTCTCTGACCACAGTGCAATCAAAGTAGAAATCTGTAACACATACATAGAAATTCCTCAAATGTTTAGAAATTAAACAATATACTTCTAAAATGAGTCAAAGAAGATATCACAATAGAAATTAGACTATTTTAACCTGAATTATAATAAAAATATATAAATGTGTGAGATGCATTTAAAATAGTGCACAGAAGTAAATTTATAGCTTTAAATGCATACATTAGAAACAAAGAAAGATTGAAATTATCTAAACTTCAATCTCAAGAAACTAAAAGCAAGATAAGTAAAAGTCTCCCAAAATAGAAGAAATAATAAAAATAATAGCAAAAATGAACAAAATAGAGAAAAAATATATGATAAAATCAACAAAACCAAAAAATGTTTTTTTGAGAAGATTAATAAACATGATAAACCTCTAATAAGATTGGTCAAGTACAAAGAGAAAATACAGATTATCAGTATCAGGAATGAAAAGTGTATTACTTTAGATTCCATAGGCATTAAAAAGACAACACACTTTTAGTTTAATAAATTTAACAATTTAGATGAAATAAATATGTTCCTTGAAAAATACTACTTACAAAACACATACACATAAAGATATATGCGTAATCCTATATTTATGATTTGAAATCTTTAATCCACAAGTTAAAACCTTCACACACTAAGGAACACCTAGCTCAGATGGCTTTTTGATGAATTCTTCTAAACCGTTTAAGGAAGAAATAATGCTAATCTTGCATAAAATTCCTCAAGGAATAGAAAACGGGGAACACTTTTCAACTCATTTTATGAGGTCAGCATAATCTTGATGTCAAAAGCTGATTTAAATATTATAAGTGTTGAGCAAAAGAAGACAGAAAAGAGTAAATATCGTTCGATTCCATTTGTATGAAATTCAGTAATTGGCAAAATAGAAATCAGAATGATTTACTCTTAGAAGGGTGAGATACTGGGAAGCAGCATAAGGGAATCTTGAGGGCTGGAATGTTCTGTATCTTTATCTTAGCCGTAGTAATAAACATATGTACATATGTAAAAATTCATTGAGCTGTACACTTAAGATTTGTGCCTTTACTGTATGTATGTTATAACTAAAAAAAAGATTGTAAACTTGCTCTGGTATAACTATGACGTTTTCACCATCACATTTCTCTCATGTCTACGTCAAATCCAGCGTGCACTTCCCTTGCTCACATTCTGCTTGATAAATGCACACTTGTGATGGAGCAAGCGTGAACAGCAGAGAGTATTTGCTGTAGGCTCCCCGCGTTGGGGGAATAAAGGAATTACCCAGCCCTGGAGTTGGGTGTGATAGAGCGTCTAGTTCTTCCACTGTTTCGCTTGCTCACTTAATACAGTGTCGTTTCTTTCCCAGGCACGGTGGTTCTGGGACGCGTACTTCCAGTCCATCAAAGCCATTGCCCTGGCCACCCTGCAGATTATCAACGACCGGATCTATCCATACGCTGCCATCTCCTATGAGGAATGGAACGACCCTCCGGCCGTGGTGAGTGAATTCCAGTGCTAGTAGCCACGTCAGACGCAGTCCAGCTGTTAGGATGGGACAAAGTAAAATGTACTGAATTTGTAAAGGTTATTTCAATTCTAAGATGAAAGTGTGCTGTTCTACTTGGGGTCTGATAAGGCCAGCTTAATTTTGAAATGATGACAAAAGTAGGATATACAGAAGCTGCAGCTTCTAGTTTGTTTCAGATGTGCTTGGGAAGGCAGTATGTTTATTTATTGCAGAGCTAAATGGGAGGCCTGGGTATTCTTGGAAATCAAAGACTTCCTGATGATTTTTGCAGTTGTAGTGCTTAGAACTCTTGAAAAGATTCTGTAAACTACTTACTAATAATAGTTTATATTTTAAGCGCTCTCTGCTAGGGATCATGCTAATCTATTTACATGGATTATTTCAATTAAGATTTCCAGTACCCCATGAGGAAAATAATCAGCAAAGGTGATCTAGAGGCGTTATGGATTGCCAGTCACTTTCTCACTATGGCGGAAGCCCCTGGTATTTCTATCAGAGAGATGAGGTGCTCAGATGCTGCTTTCAGGGCTTCTTGAACGAGTCACAAGGCCCTTGTGGCATTGTAGGGATCGTGGAGCTGCCAGACCTTCTATTTCACTGAAAATGCCTGAACCTCTGGGCTTGGCAGTTATTACTTCCTGGCCGCGTTGGAGCACACCTGGCTGTCTAGCTCACAGACCCCAAGGCTTTCGTAGAAGATAACTAGACTCCATTCTTCATTCCAATCATCGCGCTCTTCCTGGCCAGTCCTCCTTGCCTCCTGATTCTCCCTTCTCTCAGTAGTGCTGTATGCTGCCAGCTG